AAGTCCGGAGCTAAGGGGCCGCTCTGCACTTTTGTCTATCTCCGGGGTCCGGCGCGAGGAGGCGGGTGCGCGTGCGCAGGCGGCTCGGCGGTGCCCCCTGGCGGGGGAAACCCGGCGCTTGATTTCTGCAAAAAGCCGCGGAGCTGCGACTCTCCCTTCCTCGCGCATCCCCGCCAGCGCCTTCCGAGGGCTTGAGTTCGAGGCAGAGTCCTCCTCTTTCCTCCTCACAACAACCCTGCGAGGAGGGATGGCCCAAGAGATGGCCCGGGGGAGCTGTCCAGACGTCTGCGCTGGGGATGATGGGTGCTGTGGTCCCAACAGATCTGGCATTGGTCCCTGTGCTCAAGTGCCCTGTGCTTCAGAAGGGGGCCCCATGTGCGTTTTAACTCTCTCCTGGGCTTAGATCAGTGTTTCTGCCACTTTAAGGAGGGTGGACTTCAACTCCCAGAATTCCCCAGCCAGCCATGGTTGAGAAACACTGGTTCAGATGTTCCCTCGAACGGGCTTGCGGTTGGCCATCCGGCTGTGGTTTGCTTAGCCACAGCTAGTGGCTGAATAAACCCCAGTTGGTTGGTCCAAGCATTGCACTGAGCCATCAGCCCACACTCCACGTTCAGATTCACGCGACACGTGAACCCGGCCACGGGAATTCCCCTGGCTGGCTAGTGCTGCATTGCCTCTGTTTCGCCAGTCGCCCAGAGGACCGGAATGGGCCGAGGGGAGAAATAAATGCGTTTCCGAAGGCGGCCGCTTCCCAGTTCCTTTTTTGAAGAGGCCGACAACAACAGGCTTTGGAGCTGGCCCAGTTCCGACTTGCATCCCAGATGCTGAGCCCCCGTGGCGGCCAAGCTAGCCCTCAGCTGCAGCCGTCCCCTCTTCCGGCCGTGGTCCCCGGGCCAAGAAGCCCCAGGTGGGGGTAATTAGCCAAAGACGGGGCCTTCCTTTCCGTGAAAGGTCTTTTCTCTCCCCTGCCTGCGACACGGGGCCGTGACAGCACAAACACTGCACCCTGCCCGAGGCTGTTCTGAAGCCGATCGAAAGCCGTGTGCCCATGGTGCTCGTCCGCCCGATGTCACGTCCACTTCGGTGCATCCCTGTGGGGTGCCCTGCTTCCTTGCAGCCAGACGTGAAAAGCCGTTCTCCTTTCGCACAGCCAGGCCGAGACCCACTCACTACATGTGCTGGCTCTTGCATTTTTGGCCGCACAGCCAAAGCCTGCGGAGGCTGGGAATGATTGGCCCTGAAGTCCAGCACATGCAGAGACGGCTCCCTAGGGCGGGTTGCCGATCCTTGCACACCCACTCACTGTACTGGGTGCTGCCAACCCGTTTTCTCTTCTCTTCCTGCAAACTCACCCGCCTCCCTTCCTCCCCCCAGTATTTCATGGTGCTCCTGGTCCCGGCTGCCCTTTCCTCCCTGTCTTCATTTGGGTAAGAATCTCTTCCTTCCCCAGAAGAGAATCCAGTGTCTGGCCGGGACACCCCAATCCTCGGGCCAATGCCCCAGCCTGAGCGCGCCCCACAGCCCGACAGCCAAACGCAGCAGTAGCAGCAGCAGCCTTGAGACAGGACAGACCCCTCCTCAGGGGGTGGGGTATCCCAACAGCAGAAGCTCTGCGAGCCGGGCTGGCAGCAGGAAGTGTCTGGGCAGGTGCCAGGGGGTCCTGGATCGCTACTCACCGCAGCCAGCCCCATGTATTTGGGAACTGGGCGAGGGTGGAACGCACAGCTGGGCAAACGGGGCCCAGGAGTTTGGGGGATCAGAGGCCAAACTGCTGAGCCCCCTTCCTTGCTCTTTTGTGTCTGAGCTCCTCCCACCCCCCTTTTAATGATGGCGCTGCTGCACTTTATTTCCATAGTAGTTTTATTATGGCGTTTGTATTTTGGGAGCTGCTTTGGGTGCCTTTGAACAAGAACGGTAGAAAGAAATCCACAGCGACAGAAGGCCACCCTGTGTCCTGCCCTCTCCCTGCTCCTCCGGTGGCAGCGCGGAGGGGTCCACCGGAGCTGGCTTGGGCTGGCTACAGGACGAGGTGGTGGCCCAATCGTTCCGGGTGACATCCTCACCAAAGCCACCAATGATGCCCTGGCAGGAAAGCTCCTCCTGGCCCACCCCTGCCAGGCTGGAAGTGGGGGCACTGCCGGCCGAGCTGGAGGGTGCTCTGCAGCTCGGACTGTGTCTGTCCTGCAGGCCCAACCATTTTGCTGCTGAGCTGGCCAGCATGTCCTGCTGGCTGGGTTGGTCACAATGCCATCAGCCAGCGCTTCCAGCCCTCCTTCTTGGATGGCATCTTCATTCTCGCCCAGAAGTTGCCTCCCTGCCTGGGGGCAATTGCAGGGGTGCTGAACACAAGGGAGTTTGGGGTACCTGTTGGATCCTCCAGGGAAGGTGGCTGGGGGAGGTTGAAATGTGAAAAGGTGGAGGACGGAGGGGCCAGTGTGGCCTATTTTACCTCCATGCACTCCGTGATCTGCACCTGCCTTTCTCTCCAGGGCCACGATTCGTGCTGGAGCTCAAGTATCTGTCCCAGGAGAGCAAAAATGATAATACTATCTGTGAATGCTGCTCAAAGCTTCAGATGGAAGCATTTCCCTCTAGTGGAATCCCAGTTCCAGCCCTGAGGCTGGCCCCTCTCCCCAAACTTCGGTTTGCCCACCTCTCTTCTTCTGTGCCTTTAAAGGGGAGAGCCTGAGAACCAGCTCAGCATGGAGAAGAGATTTCAGGATTTGCCGAGCCAATCAGATGAGACCCAGAATCCCAAAGGGGTCGCCCATGAGAGGTTGACCGAGCCCCTCTCCAGTCTGCTGCACTCCCATAGGAATGAGCCCACAGGGCCTCTTATCCTCCAGCTGGCGTTTGTGCTGATGGGCTTCTGGCAGCCTCCGCTTCTCCGTCAGATTCCCCCAAGCAGAGCTGGTTGAAGGAGCTTGCCGGCTTTCTCCTTCCCAGGACCCAGGCAGCAAGGAAGGGCCCGCCAAACAATGCTGTGGACTTTGTCCCTCTGGGGAGGACTACTGGAGGACACGTGGGTGGGGTGGGCAGAGGAGGGCAGAGGAGGTGGCAGCTGTTGGCTCCCATTGCTTACGGAGAATGAGGCTCTTCAGGGGAGCCCACGGGGCGCAGTCAGAAGCATCAGGGCCCAACCAGGCCTGAGGGCAAGAGCAGACGCTGCCGGGCAGAACTCAGGAGGACCTGCGGTGGGCGCTAACGGCGTGCAGGTACAGAGCAGGCACCCAAACATAGTGCCCCCTGCACCCCAACGAGTGCAGGCAAGTGAGGCAGGGCTGGCCCTCTCGGGGGAAGAGTTTGGCACTTGGGTGCAAGGGGGGAGCTGAGCGAGAGAGCGGTCCGGGCGGAGGGAGCCAATTTCGGATGCTCTCCTGAGGGGGGCATGAGGCCACCGGGAGGGGCTAACATCCTTTAAAATCCCACCCCGACAGAAACAACCTTTCTTTTTTTCTTAAAAACCCCAGACATTTATTATTTTTGCCAGGCCTCCCAAACTAATCGCAACCAGGAGCAATTTTCGGAACTCGAACCCCACTTCACGAAGCCATCCGGGGAGTCAGGAGCGCCACCCGGGCAACACGTGAAGCGGCAGAAGGCGAAGGTGGCAGCGAGGGGGGGAAGGAGGGTCCAAGCACAAGGGCGCGGGGAAGCCCCTTCCCTGGGGTCCCCTGCATTCTCCCAATCTTCATGGGGGGGGCTCTCGGACACAACAGGGCCTGGTGGGAGGAGAGGGAGGGCAGACCAGGGACTGCAGTGGGGAGGGCATTTCGTCACCGAGGCAAAGAAGGGCTGCAGCGTCCCCAGAGATGGCGGTGCAGGGCAGAGGTGGGGGCAGGACGGCAGGCTCAGGGGCACTTCCTCTCCACGCACTGCTTGCCCCCCTCTTCGTACTCCTGCTTGGAAATCCACATTTGCTGAAAGGTGCCCTGGAAGAGGCAGTAGGCGGTGAGAGGCCGAGCAGCCCCGCCAACCTAGCCCCCCCCCCACCCCCCGCCCC